AGACTCAGAAGGACACTTTATAATACTCAAAGGAAGAATACATCAAGAAACATAAACATTGTAAACATATATGCACCAAACATAGCAGCACCTCAAAATAAAAGAAAAATCTTGTAGGATTTCAAGAAAGATATAGACAGTAACATACTGATAGTAGGGGATTTTAACACCCCACTGTCAAAAATGGAAAGACAAATACCATGTGATCTCACCTATAAGTGGAATCTAACCAACAATACAAAGATGCACAGAAAATAAGACCAGCGACACTGAAAGGAAAAGAAACCAACAGAGACAAGAGGGAAGGGGGGGCGGGGGAAAAGGAAGGGAGGGGAAAGTCAAGGAACATATAACAAGGACTCATGGACAAAACCAAAGGGGAAGAGTTGAGGGAGAGAGGGAGGGAGGGGGCAAGAGAAGTGGTGGGGGGGAGGCAGAGACAATTAATTTGTATTTGAACAAATTAATTAATTTTTTAAAAAAAAGGAGAGATCTTCAAAACAAAACATCAACAAGTATATTGTGGAATGGAATGATGCTTTACATCAAATAGACTTAACTGACATATATAGAACATTTCATCCCAAAGAACAAAACACATTTTTTTTTAATGTACATGGGCCATTTTAAAAGATAGACCACATGATAGGACACAAAACAAGCCTCAAAAAATTCGGGACAATTGAAGTAATAATCATTTTCTTGGGCCACAAGGGCTTGAATCTGGAAACCAACCACAAGGAAAAACATTAAAAACATTCAAATTCATGGAGACTGAATAGCAAACTATTAAACAATGAGTGGGTCAATAATGATATAAAATAAGATATCAAAACGTTTCTGGAAACAAATGAAAATGGACACAAAACAGTTCAAATCCTATGGGACACAGCAAAGGTGGTCCTGAGAGGAATATTCATAGCAATACAGGCCTAACTCCAAAAGACAGAAATATTTCAAATAAAAGACCTCACCCTCCAGCTACAATAACTGGAGAAATGACAACAAACAAAGCCCACTGGGAGAAGAAGAAAGGAAATAATCAAGATCAGAGCATAATTAAATGATATAGAGATGAAAAGAACAATTTAGAGTATCAATGCAGGTGCTGTTTCTTGGTAAAGAGACACAAAATCAACAAAACTTTAATCAGCTTCCTCATGAGAAAAAAGGGAGAGGACCCAAAAATAACATCAGAAATGAAAGAGGAGAAATAACAACTGATACCACAGAAATACAAAGGATTGTAAGAAATTACTATGAGCAATTATGTGCCAAGAAATGTGAAAACCTTGATGAAATGAACAAATATCTAGAAAAATGTAACCTTCCAACACTCAATGAAGAATAAGCAAAAAGCCTGAACAGACCAATCACAGTTTGGGGAATTGAAGCAGTAATCAGAAAACCCCTGGCACACAAAAGCCCTGAACAGATGGTTTCACAGCAGAATTTAAAAAACAAACAAACAAACAAACAAACAAACAAACAAAAACACTTATGGAAGATCTAACCCCAGTCCTTCTCAGACTATTCCAAAAAATCTGAAATGAGAGAAGACTCCCAAACTCTTTATGAGGCCAGCATCACCAGAATCCCAAAATCAGATAAAGATACAACCAAGAAAGAAACTCACAGAGCAATATTGCTGATGAACATAGATGCTAAAATCCTCAACAAAATAGAGGCAAACTGCATCCAGCAATACATTAAAAAGATTATCCACCATGATCAAGTGGGATTCATCCCAGGGATGCAAGGCTGGTTCAATATTCAAAAATCAATAAACATAACACATCACATAAACAAAAGGAAAGACAAAAACCAAATGATCATCTTAATAGATTTGGAAAAAACATTTGATAAGGTACATCTCCCATTTATGATAAAAACAATCAACAAAATGGGAATAAAGGGGACATATCCCAACATAATAAAGACCATACATGAAAAACCTATAGCCAACACCATACACAATGGGCAAAAACTAAAACCTTTCCCTCTAAGATAAGGAAAAAGTCAAGGATACCCACTTTCACCACATCTATTCAACATAAAATTGGAAGTAATAGCCACAGTGCAGGCAAGAAAAAGAAATAAAATGCATCCAAATTGGATAGGAGGAAGTAAAACTATCATTGTTTGCAGATAACATGATAGCATATATAGAAAACCCTATAGACTCCACCAAACAACTACTCGACCTAATAAGTGAATTTGCCAAAACAACTGGATACAAGTCATTATTCAGAAATTGAAGGCAATTTTGTACACCAGCAATGAAATAGAAGAAACAGAAATCAGAAAAAAAAATCCCATTTGCTATAGCAACAAGAAAAATAAAGTACCTAGGATAAATTTAATCAAGGAGGTAAAAGACCTGTATGCAAAAATCTATACAAAACTGAAGGAAGAAATTAAGGAAGACACAAATAAATGGTAGCATATACTGTGTTCATGGATTTGAAGAATTAATGTCATCAAAATGTCCATACTACCCAAAGCAATTTAGAGAGCCAATGCAACCCCTATTAAAATACCCATGACATATTTCGAGAAATAGACCAGACATTTCAAAAATTTAAATGGAACCATAATGACCCCCGAATAGCTGCAGCAATTTTGAGAAAGAAAAACAAAGAAGGAGTGATCATAATAGCAGACATAAAACCATATTACAAGGCCACTGTAATCAAAACAGTCTGATACTGGCACAATAATGGACACAGAGATCAGTCAAACAGAATAGAGAGCCCAGAAATAAACCCATGTGTCTATGATCAACTAATATTTCACAAAGTTGGCAGAAGCACAAAGAGGAGTACAAATATCCTCTTCAACAAATGGTGTATGGAGAGCTGGGCAAGTGCACCCAAAACATTGAAATTCATCCACCAACTAACACCATGCACAAAAATAAACTCAAGATGGATAAAAGACTTAAATGTAAGTCATGGCACCACAAAAATCCTAGAGGAGAACATAGGCTGGAAACTCTCAGATATCCCATGAAGCAATATTTTTATTGATATTTCCCCCAAGGCCAAGGTACATAAAAGAAAGAATAAACAAGTGGGACTTCACAAACTAAGAAGCTTATGCATGGATTAAAAAAAAAATAATCAGCCAAATGAGAAGGGAATGAACTGTATTGGAAAATATATTTGCCAACGATACATCAGATAGAGGTTTGTTCTCCAAAATATCTAAAGAACTCACACCTGGGCTTATTTCTGGGCTTTCTATTCTGTTCCACCAGTCTATGGGTCTGTTCTTGTGCCAGTACCAGATTGTTTTGAGTATAGTGGCTTTGTAGTAGAGTTTGATGTCCGGTATTGTGATCTCTCCTACTTTGCTTTTCTTTCTCAAAATTGCTGAGGCTATTCGGGGTCGTTTATGGTTCCATATAAATTTTTGAAATGTCTGTTCTATTTCTGTGAAATATGTCATTGGTATCTTAATAGGGATTGCGTTGAATCTATAAATTGCTTTGGGTAGTATGGACATTTTCATGATATTAATTCTTCCAATCCATGTGCATGGTATATGCTTCCATTTATTTGTGTCTTCCTTAATTTCTTTTTTCAATGTTGTATAGTTTTATGCATACAGGTCTTTTACGTCTTTGGTTACATTTATGCCTAGGTACTTTATTTTTCTTCTTGCTATATCCAATGGTATTTTTTCTCTGATTTCTTCTTCTTCTATTGCATTGCTAAGTGAAATAAGCCAGGGGGCGAAAGACAAATGCCATATGATCTCACCTATAAGCGGAACCTAACCAACAATCCAAAGATGCAAGGAAAATATGACCAGCAACACTGAAAGGAAAAGAAATCAACAGAGACAAGAGGGAAGGAGGGGGGGCAGGGAAAGGGAAGGCAAGGGGAAAGTCAAGGAACTTTCCATGAGCAAGGACTCATGGACAAAACCAAAGGGGAAGAGCTCAGGGAAGGAAGGAGGGAGGGGGCAAAGGAAAGTGGTGCGGGGGAGGCAGAGACAAATGTATTTAAAAATTAAAAAAAATTAAAAATAAATAAATAAAAAGAACTCACACCACTCCAAGAAGACAAACAATGCAATTAAAAAATTGGCAAAGGACCTGGGAAGACACTTCTCCAAGGAAGAGGTACAGAGGGCCCAGACACATATGAAAGGGTGCTCAGCATCACATGCCATCAGAGAAATGTAAATTAAAACCACAATTAGATACAACTTCACACTGGTCAGAATGGCCATCATAAACAAATCAACAAACAACAGGTGCTGGCAAGGCTGTGGAGAAAAGCGAACCCTAGTACAGTGTTGGTAGGAATGCATACTGGTGCAGCCACTCTGGAAAATTGTTTAGAATTTCCTCAAAAAGCTCAAAATGGAACTACCTTTTGACCCAGTAATTCCACTGCTAGGATTATACCCTAAGAGTCCCAGAACAGTAATTCAAAAGAACTTATGCATCCAATGGTCATAGCAGCACAATTTACAATAGCCTAGTGCTTGAAACAACCTATGTGTCCATCAGCAAACAAGTGGATCAAAAAACTATTGTATGTTTACACAATGGAATACTACACAGCAGAAAGAAAGAGGTTCTACCCTTCACGACCGCATAGATGGAACTGGAGAGCATTATGAGTAGTGATATAAGCCATTGGGCGAAAGTCAAATACCATATGATCTCCCCTATAAGTGGAACCTAGCCAGCAAAGCAAGCAGACAAGGAAAATATGACTAGTGACTTTGAAAGAAAGAAGACACCGAGAGGGACAGGAGAGAGGGAGTGAGTGGGGTAGTGGGGAGGGGAAGGGTAAGGCAGATAAAGCAACAGGTGTGAAGGATAGATTGTCAAAGCCAAGGTGGGGAAGGATTGACGGGGGTGAGGGAGGTGGGTTGGGTTTGGCAAGGGAGAATGGTGGAGGGTAAATGGAGACAAATGTATGGGAACAATAATTTTCTTTTTAAAAGAGTATTTAATCCAGTTACATTTAAGTTTATTATTGAAAAGTATTAAATACTTCACAAATTTTTGTGTCATCCTTGTGCAGGGCCTATGCTAATCTTCTCCGTATTGTTCCAATTTTAGTATATGTGCTACAGAATTGAGCACTTCTTATAAAGAATTTTTATACACAGGCAACAATAAGACTATGTGTAAAGTACCAAAAGCATGCTATTTTTATTCATGTTTAAGGGAGATGCATTTGAACTTATTGAAGGCTTAGCACACTAACGTAGATTATCCTAATCCAAAATTGCTGGTTTCGAAGTTGAAATTTGTATCAGTTTTCAGTTTTTTTGTTAAAATAGAAAGTCTAAATTTCTTAACTTTTTTTAAAAAATTTTTTGCAGGAAATAATGCATTACTAGCCATGATTATATCTACCAAAGTTGTTGTGACAAATGAATACATAGTAGGTGCTGCTTCTATGTAAGACAAAAATTACAATAGTGTCATACTCTCTCCCTTGGCTATAGAAAGACAGGAAAATATTTTATTGAACTTGGAAGCAGACAATAAGATACTGAATAAACTGAAGCTATGTCTCAAAAATAAGAAACTAGCCCATCATGAAAAGTAACAAGCTAAGATTTTTAAAATACCTAAGTACATTCACCAATTGATTGCTTCCCTTTTTCTGTTTGGATCTGATTTTGGTGGATTGTTTCAAAATCCTAGATGTATTCTGGATATTCCTCTTGGTATTTCTACTTCTGAGTGTTTGCTAATTTGTTGCCCCACCTGGTTTGAGGAAATGTAGCTTCACCAACAGGTAAGAGGGTCCCAAGGCTGGAACTGAGCAAGGACGCCTTGGGAAAATAGGCCACTGAGGAGACAAAACCTGTCACCCTGGCAAGGGCACAGGCCCTACCTCCCTCACATCACCCTGCTTGGCCCCAGATAATGGCTGGATACTCAATGGTGGATAAGATCCCTTGATGGCAGAGGAAACCTAAGACAGGCAGAGTCACATACGGGCCATCAGGGAAGGACTTGGGGAACACAGAGAAGGAGCAAAAGACCATCACCCCTCAACTTTGTCATAGCCGGAGTCCTCGTTCTCTCTGCAAGAAATTTCCTCATCTCTTGGCTGCTCTGCTCCACCTGCGTGGATCAGGCCTGAAAAAATATGAGAGGTAGGTACAGCCCTAAACTGGATAGGGCAGCCCCAGGGGGAAATCAGGCCTAGAAGTAAATTACACTCCTTAAAGCATACTTTGTTTCTCCCTCAAGCTGTGATAACCAGCTCATGCTGGGAAGGTAATTTATATTATTCATGGACTCTGACCCTAAACCATTTGGTGCTCTTATGCTTACTCATCTTGGACCCATACAAACCGGTGTGTTTTCTGTTATTTGTCTTCTTCAAAACATCTCCTATTCTCTATAAACATTAATATACTCATGTAATGAGATCATCTGTACATTCCTGCTACCTATCCCCCACTGATAACCCTTTCAATAAAAGCCATTGAACACCGGGACTTGGGGCATTTCCCATGAGAGGGAATTGCCACCCCCTTTTCTTGACAGGCAACTGGTATCTGGAATGATCCTTCCATCCACGCCAAATCAGGAGACTTCATGAGCCAGGGTCCCCCATACTAATTCCAAAATCAAGTTTTCTGTTCTAAGTATTTGCAAAATAATGTAAAATGTGAGTAGGAAATTAAAGTGGTTACAGGTCCAAATATGGATTTTGAGACTGAGTTATACCAATAACAAAGGCTTGTTACAAATTCTCAAAATTATTCCTTTACATTTATAAAAGTCATTTCACTAAAGAACTGCATTGTATCCTTACATTTGATTTTTAATCTAAAAAATGGAGTTTTTTTTACTTTCATCTAGAATAATTTTTTTGATTAATTTATTTTTTCAAATACATTTGTCTCTGCCTTCCCCCCACAACTTTCTCTTGCCCCTCCTCAATCCTTCCCCTTTGATTTTATCCTTCAGTCCTTGCTATATGTTCCTTGACTTTTCCCTTCCCTTCCTTCCCCCCCAGCCCCTCCCTCCTTCCTTCATGTCTCTGTTGGTTTATTTTCCTTTCAGTTTTGCTGGTCTTATTTTCCTTGCATCTTTGTATTGTTGGTTAGGTTCTGCTTATAGGTGAGATCATATGGTATAAAAAATGGAGGTTTTAATGATGGTTATATATTGAGAAATGTAGAACACGATAATGTAAATGACAAACACTTGAGATAGAGAATTACCTTCTTCTTTAATAACATGATCCAAGTCAATAAAAATGATATATGTTCCAAGGTTTCCTGGGTCAAGTAATTCAGCATGAGAGTGCTGTGTTCTTCCTTGGTTGAGACTAACACGTATAAGAAAAAGATTACAATTTGGATAAATACTCAATTTAAAAATAAGTTTATTCATATTTAAATATTAAAAGTTATATGTATGCATACAAGAGTCAAGAAAGGCAGTGTCTTAAGTAATTGTCCAACATTGACTATCACAGTATGTAAGACTTACATGTAGCTAAGTTTTATGATGAACAATGTTTCTTTTTGAAAAGCTAATTCTGGTCATGTTTATTTTTTTACATTTAATTGCTTGCACATTTGTGCTTGAAAAATATTTATTGGTTCATGGTATTATCGTACTTATAACGTCATTGGAGTCTTTCTTGCTTATCTAACTTTACTAGCACAACAAGTCAATTCATTTCTTCGTCCATTGCACTGGGCAGAAAACCTGTTCTATAACTGGCACTAAACAAAACTGAAAAAGTAATAGAGAAAGTTAACTAGGGCTTGAATGTTGTTATATAGCTGCATTGTCATTTAAAGTATTTGTTCCATTGATTAATTTATGTTTTTTCTCCTTTTTTTTCTCTTTTTTTCCTTTCTTCCTCCTTCTTTAATAGAAGTATACTAAGTGGAGAAGATAAAGACATTTCTTCTGATTAAATATATCATTAATAAAATAAAATTATCTTTGGTTTCCATGGCATTCTTCTGCCACATATATAGATAATCTTATAAGATTGTAATTACCTAAAATTTGTTGTTACAATTTTCCTAATGAACAATAAGTAATTACCTAGCAAATGTCTAATAAAACTTTTAGGCATATTTTTCTAAAATGGTTTGGTCATTGTTTTTTTTTAATTATTCTTACCTAAACTATGGTTTATTATCCTAGTTCTGTACATAATGCAGCTTAAGCTCATAAAGTATAAAATATGTCTAATATCACCACTGACAGTTATAGGAGCTGGAATTCAAACTCAGGTAATCTGGTTCCAAAGTACTAATTCTTTACCATTAGACTGCATGATAAGCACTGAAAATGTTAAAGAATTATTATCAGTGTTTTTTTTTGTTTGTTTGTTTTTTACGTAAGGGCTTTGAAAAGTAGAGAGAATGACTGATTTGCTCAAAGTCTTACAACTGAAATGTGCTGGAATGAGCATTGAAATGAATTACAGGGTATTTCTAAACAGCTACCAATATGGAGAATGCCAATAACAGTTGTTGCCTAATAATTATGGTAAGTTTGAATCTCACTGGTTATGATCTAAGCATAGATAATCTTTTGGGCATACAGTTTTTTTTGAAAAGGTAAGTTCCAGAGGAAGTTATTGTATTTTTAAAAAATCCATGAATGTAACTACATAGGAATTCTGGAGATAAAGGCATTAAGTAAGATATGGATTCAGAACATACCCAGCTCCCTGTGATTACCTGATAACCACACTCCAGCTTTAGAAGGTACTGGTACCAAGCTGGTCCTGCAACTCAGTCTTCAAATAGACATTCCACCATTCTATCAAGCCATCTGCTTCAGGATGGTGGAGAAAATGATAAGAACAGTGTATTCCCTGAGTATGGGTCTGATGCTACATTTTCTTTGGTGCTGTATAAAGTACCAAAGTAATATGCCAGTGGATAGGGATGGTAGTTTTGGCAGCAATACTGCATGTAATAAAGTCAAATCTATATCCAGAATGGGTATTTATTGAGTAATGATAAAGCTCTGTCCCCTCTATAAGGAAATAATCAATGTAACCAATCTGCTACCAGGTACCTGGCTGTTCATCCTAGAACATTTTGCCATACATACGGGTGGCTCAGTCTTTGTTAATGGCAGATTGGATAAGTGGAAGTCTACTCATATGTTGCTGAGGAGCTGATGGTGGCTGACTGATATCCAAATGATGAGGCAACCTATCCACTTGATCATTAAAATTCTCTGCTCAGGTCACCCTTGGCTAAGCTTTCACATGGGACACATGTATCTATTTTTCACCTAGTTAAAGAGGATTACTTATACATATTTCCCTCAGACTTTCTTGTCACTGATTTTCCAATCACATTTTTTTCAAGTCCCTGAACATCCATACAAATTGCCACAAACATCAATATATCATCATGTGTCTGATCCTGTCTAATTTTTATCTAAGTGAACAACAAAATTTATTGATTAAAGGTCTAACCTCTGGGTAGAATTTCCTTTACTAATGCCTTTCATGAATATCCCAGAAAAGGTCTGTAGCCCTCTCAGATGGTCCATATATATCATACAGAAACAGCTTGTAAACCAGGCTCAACTTTTCTTTTATTTTAGCCACCACCTCAAAATCAGCAGCATTTTTGTGTCACTCAATAAATTGGCCAGAGGAGAACATCCAAACAAGAAAAAATTTGCCTCAAAAATTCAGAGGACCACCAAACATTGTGTGTGTGTGTGTGTGTGTGTGTGTGTGTGTGTTTTCCTATTGTAGAGTGGGCCAGATGAAACAACTTATATGAAGGATGACCTTAAAAAATGGAATTTATTTATAAATATTGTATATTTATGCTTACATGTTTAAACTTCAGTCACCTTTAAAGTACTTTCTATTTCATGCAATACACCAATTGAGACATTTTTTCCCACTGCCCAGAACAGTTTTTGAACTTGTCAATTTTGGTGACTTTTAGTGCTTCTATAATTGTTTGTTCCACCTTTTCACATTGGCAAAACATAACCCTTTGAGGACTTTTTTCCTCCTGGGAAATAAGGAAAAAAAAAGTTTCTCAGGGTGAGACCATGTGAATAGGGAGAGTAGGGCATGGTATGGTATGAATTTGAAGGAGTAAACTTATGAT